GGGACGAAAACCCGTCCGCGCTTCTCGATTCTTCTCACCTCCCTCCTGAGGGAACCGTGTGGTGAAAAAAATGCCGGCGGATAAGAAGACACCGGATGTCCCGCCCTCTCCCCCACCCCCAGGAATGAAATCTCACGATAGTATATCCCGATGTGTTACTGGGTCAACCTGGCGCAGCGACTTCTGGGTAATGTAGTTCCCAAATCTGAGGGGGAGGATTTTTCTCGCCTAATTAGGTTTGCTACTGAAGGGAATCCTGGAAAAGCGCTGTTCTTATTTTATTGTTCATATTTTTTACTTTATCTTTTTCCAAAGTGATGAAAACTTCTTTAATTAACACATTCCAAAAGACGAAAATAGCAAAGCAATTAAGAATGTGGACTTAAGCCATATTTCTGGATTCAAATCCCAGTCCCAGCAGTTAATAGCATAAACTTATTTTTTACTTTTTTAACACTTACCTAAGGATATGTGTTTGTGGATTTTAGAGAGAGAGAGAGAGATCAGTTTCCTCCCGTAGGCACCACCACCCAGATCAAACTGTTCCGGGCAGAGAGGTTGATCATGCTGTTGATCCTGATTGTTAGCTATGGTTATAAGAAATAGTAATCATGTTCTGTTAACTGTGATTGTTCTGTTCTAATTGGAAAAAGCCATTTCTAACCTGGCTGGGAATTGCACGCCCCGGATCATGGGATTTACCCTTGGAATGCGGTCCAGTCTTTTCGGAGAACTGCCTATCATTATGGAAAGATTAACCACCTTGTTCTGAAACCATTGAATCCTGGAGGCGCCGCTTTGCAACCCCCCAGCCCACAGTGCTTGCACCTGTTAGCGTTATACCTTGCCTACTTCCTGATGCCTGTAACCCCTACTTTCCCATGTAATCTTTGTCCTACCCAATATGAGCAGCTGGATTATAGGGCTCCGGCAGAACAGATTTCTGTGGATGAACCTTACTTATCTCCCGTACTACAGACAATATTGAAATAAATGCTCATATAAGAGTCAACCCTGGCTATGCTTAATTGGCTCAAGTAGTGACTGGCAGCCCAGACCCATGTTGTTCGATTCCTGGTGAAGGGCACATGCATTGGTTGCAGGATTGATCCCGGTCGGGCACCTGTGTCTCTCCAACATTGATGTCCTTCCCTCTCCCTCTCTCCCCTCACCCCTCCCTTTCCTTCTCCCCCCAGCCTCCCACTCTCTCTAAAAATCAGTGGGAAAAGTATCCTCTGGTGATGATTAACAAAAAAGTGTATGGTGTATGTTTCCATTACATTGTGCAGAGCAGAAAACTTTTAAAAATAAAGCGGCCTGGCTAGGGAGCTCAGTTGGTTAGTGTCATCCCAACATGTCAGAGTTGCAGATTCAATCCAGTTAGGGTGCATACAATAATCAACCAATGAATGCATAAAGATGTGGGAGAAGCCCTGGCCAGGCTGGCTCAGTTGGTTGGGTGAAGCCATGTGTACTGAAAGGTTGCCGGTTCAATCCCCAGTTGGGTATTTGCAGGAGGCAGCCAATCAGTGTATTGCTCTCACATGTTTTTCTCTCTCTCTCCCTCTCCCTCCTCTCTCTCTAAAATCAATAAAAACATATTCTTTTAAAAAATAGAAATGACCCAAATGTCCATAAAGAGATGAATGGATAAACCAATTGTATTATATCCAAAGATGGGAGGGGGGAATGTTGAGCTACTTATATCATAGACAAATCTCTAAGTAATAATACAACATAAAGGAGACCAGAAAAAAAAGTAAACATTTAATGATTCCCATCATATAGATAACAGAAAATACAAAGGTATGTAAACTAAGGGAAAGTAAACCAAGTTATGTGGAGGGCTGAGGAGAGCAGGGAGAGGTTATAAAAGGACATAGGGGGAAAATATACTTACAAGTTAAGTCATTACCATAACTGCAATGATGTTTTAAGTTCAACATGTATGTCAAAACCTATCAAATACTACACTTTAAATATGTGAAGTTTATTATAAGTAAATTATACCTTAATAAAGCTTCAAAAATGGCTCAAGATTTAAAAATCTGTGTGTCCCACTCTTTTTGAGAAATAGGTTTGGCAACTTTATGTGGACCCCACCATCTTTCTCGTACTGCTATTTGAAAGTCAGTCTTGCCTCAGTGGTAGAAAACATTGGCTACTAATAAAGGACATTTCTTTGTTTTAAATAGATCTTTATTGATTTCAGAAAGAGGAAGGGAAAGGGAGAGAGAAAAACATCAATGACGACAGAGTCATTGACCGGCTGCCTCCTGCACACCTCCTACTGGGAATCGAGCCTGCAACCCCAACCCAGGGCATGTGCCCTGACCGGGAATCAAACCTCAGTCTCCTGGATTCTAGGTCGATACTCAACCTCTGAGCCATGCCTGGCTAGGCAATAAGGAACATTTCTATTTCACTCAAAAGGAAGGCTGGCTGGGTCACAAGAGCCACATCTCTGGACTACCTTCCTTTATCTTTGTTTCCCTGGCTGTGCAACAGTGGCCTTCAGGAGATCATCATGACAGCAATACACAAAACTTTTAATTTTCTCTGAAAAAGATTTCAGCTACACAAGATAAATATGCCTGGAGATGCTGAGATTTGTGTGCACACTGATCATGTCCCATCACTTTTCCAGAAACATTTGTGGATTCACGTTTACAGGATGTACATTCCATAGTATTAGCTAAAGTCTCCTCCAATCCCTACCAATCCAGTGTTGTTTCAGTGGCAGTTATGGTCTCCGCTCACCACTATTGTCTCACAATCAGTGACAATCGCCTACTAAATTGTGAATATCAGGACAGAGGGTTCTTTGCAGGACCTAGGAAACAGACTCTCCTCAATATCCCGAGATTATCCTCTGTGAACAAAGGAAAAATTCATGCTTTTTCAAGAAGCACTTGAGAATGTCACATCTGACCCCTACTCAGGGTGATTTCTGAATCTCCTAAAATGCCCTGGAGTCTCCCTAGGAGGTCATTGGCAAGAATGCAAATTTGGCACACAGTGAGCTATATTTTGCCATTATACTGTCACCAGAACCACCACAAAGTGTGATACACCCATAAGAATGTTCACACTTCACACTTGTGGAGCCGAAATCTATTTATAAGCCACCACACAGTAAATAGAACACCCCAATAAAAGAGAACTTATACAGGACAGACTTAGACAGTATTATACAAACCAAAGAAATGTGCAGCAAACGGTTCAGACTGGTGACTTAGAAGCTGAAAAAACTCATGGGAGAACGTGGCCCTCCATCTGGACTCGTGAAATTTTCTGAGTCAGCAATGGGTTGGGTTCCTGTCCAATGTTAACTCCAAAGAGCTCAGGTTGATCCTAATTTTCTCCAGTATGTGAGAAAACAGAAGTCAGCTTTTTGAGCACATCAGGATGGTAATGGACACAAAAGGTGGGAACCTGCCATGTGGTAGAGAGAAATGCCTTTGACAACAGAAAATGGCAAAGAGCCCCGGGCAAGTTAGAAAGTATGCAAAATACACATGCTTCCTACATAACTGAAACTTTAGGTGAATTTCCCAAATTTGACAACTGGAAATAGGAGATTGAATCCAGACAGATGGTTTCTCATGGTTTCATCCACTGTCATTGCACTGGACAAGAAAACTACACATTCCATCAAACATCTAAATTCTTTATCTAGTGTAAGTTTCACACTGTATAATAAAGTAATTTGTAGGGGGGGAAATCTCCCACATTCCATGCATGAGTAAGTCCTTTTTCTGGGTGAACTCTCTGGTAGTAAAAGACTGTCAAGAACTGGGTAAAAGGTTTTTCACATTTACTACACCATACAGTCCACATCCTGTGTGAACTCTCAGGTAAAAGCAAACTCCATAGATATAGGCAAAATATTTCATACATTCACTATACTCATAAGACCTTTTCCCAATATGAAGACTCAGGTGTTAAGAAAGGTAAGAATTATGGCCAATAAATTTCCCCAATTTTTAGACTCAAACAACTACCTCCAGTGTGAACTCTCCAGTGTGAATTGCACTGGGAACTATCCTTCAAGGTTTTCCCACATTCACTACAACCATAAGGCCTTTATCTTGTGTGAACTCGTTGGTGTACAAGAAGGTGATGTCTCTGCATAAAGGAATTCCCACATTTACTGCACACATAAGGCCTTTCTCCTGTGTGAGTTCTTCGATGTCGAATGAGTGCTGAGTTCCTGAGAAAAGATTTCTCACACTCACTACACTCGTAAGGCCGTAACCCAGTGTGAACACTCTGGTGATAACGGAAGCCAGAGCCAGATGAAAAAGATTTTCCACATTCTCTACACTGATAAGGCTTTTCTCCAGTGTGAACTCTCCAGTGTTCAATGAGGTGAGAATTGGCTCTAAAGGATTTCCCACATTCAGTACATTTATAAGGCTTTTTGCTTGTGTGAAGTCTCTGATGATCACGAAGGGCATAACAAGAGGTAAAAGATTTCCCACATTCACAGCACTCATAAGGACCATCTCCACTGTGAACTCCCTGATGAAAACGAAGATTTCTCCTAGTGGTAAAAGATATCCCACATACACAGCACTCATAAGGCTTTTCTCCTGTATGAACTCTCTGATGATTTCTGAGGTTAAAGCCAGATGCAAAAGATTTACCACATTCTTTGCACTGATGCCTTTCTCCTGTGTGAACTCTCTGGTGTGCATGTAGGTGGTATCTTCGGGAAAAGGATTTCCCACAGTCACTACACTCATAAGGTCTTTCTCCTGTGTGTGCTCTCTGATGAGTACTGAGGTTCGAACTTGATAAAAAAGATTTCCCACATTCACTGCACTGATAGGGCCTTTCTCCACTGTGAATTTTCTTATGATAATTAAAAACAGAGCTAGAGGTAAAACATTTCCCACATTCACTACATTGATAAGGTCTTTCGCCTGTGTGAACTCTCTGATGTTGAATGAGATTAAACTTTGAACAATAAGATTTACCACACTGACTACACTGATAAGGAGCCTGACCTCCGTGAACTCTCTGGTGTACAAGAAGGTGTTGTCTTAGGATAAAGGATTTCCCACATTCACTGCACTGATAAGGTCTTTCTTTGGTGTGTACTCTCTGATGACTATTCAGGTTGTAACCAGATGTAAAAGATATCCCACATTCATTGCACTGGTAAGGTCTTTCTCCTGTGTGAACTCTCTGGTGTGTAAGAAGGTGATGTCTTCGTAGAAAGGATTTCCCACATTCACTGCATTGATAAGGTCTTTCTCCTGTGTGTACTCTTTGATGAATACTGAGGTAGGAACCACAGAGGAAAGATTTCCCACACTGACTGCAGAGATAAGGCCTTTTTCCAGTGTGAACTCTCAAATGGTAACGAAGGCCATTATGAGAGGTAAAAGATTTCCCACACTCAGTACATTCATAAGACTTTCTTTCATTATGAACTATCCTGTGTTGAGTGAAGTAAGATTGGCGGCTAAAGGATTTCCAACAGTCACTGCACTCATAAGGCCTTTCTCCTGTGTGCACTCTCTGGTGTAGAATGAGTACTGAACTCCTGGGGAAGGACTTCCTACATTTACTGCACTGAAAAGGCCTTTCTCCCATATGTACCCTCTGGTGTAGGGTAAGTACTGAACCACTGGTAAAGGTTTTCCCACACTCATTGCATTCATGAGGCGTTTCTCCAGTGTGAATTCTACAATGTAAAATGAGGTAAAATTTTCTTCTAAAGGATTTCCCACAATGTGTGCACTCATAACGCCTTTCTCCAGAGGGAGCTGTCCGTTGTCGAATAAGGATGCATTTACGGCCAAAAGATTGTGCACATTCACGGCACCACTCACATTTTTGTCCACTATGACTTCTCCAGGGATAAATGAAGACCAATTTTTGGTTAAAATACTTCCCACATTTTCCACACTTGTACTGCTTTGACCCACATTGAATTCTTCGATGCTGACTGAGGGTTGAGCTTCGCCCAAAAGACTGGCCACATTGGTCACACACATGAAGCCTTTTACCACTGTGCACTCTCTGGTGAACAACTAATGAGGATTGACACCTGAATGCTTTCCCACATTCACTGCACAGAAAACACTGTCTTCCAGTGTGAACATCTTGGTCCTGAGCATGTTTGTGTCTGGGACTGAAAGCTTCTTTATATTTTCCCCAGGTAAAACAATTTTTTCTCTTTTTCTGGTGTTTCTGGAGGTTTTCACTAAAATAAAATTGTTTCATATATACCCCACAGCTGAACACTGTCTGGCTGTGTGGTGTTCCTTGGGGCTCAGGCAAGTGGAGTATGTATCTCAAGACTGAACCACAACTGTCACAGAAGTGGGTGTTCTGGGAATGCAGAGCTANAGAAGTGGGTGTTCTGGGAATACAGAGCTGCCTTGAAGGAGCTGGCCTGTGACACTTCTACAGAAACACTCTGTTCAAAGGGTGCTTCTGCATCCTCTGCTCCACAGCAGTAACCTGAATGCAAATAAAAGCAGGTGAAGTACATGTTGACTCTAAGAATGGAGCAACACCATCACAAATGTTTGTCACATTGAGAAATGAGTCCATGGCATGCTTTTTAAGAAAGGAGTTAAAATTCAGTTGAGGAAGTTGCTACTGGGCATTACTATACTTCTAAGGCAAAAGAGTGGTAGAGTACTCACCAAAGAAAGGACATAAGAATGGGTGTATGTAACACAAAAAAGATAGATATGTTCTAATTTAGATTCATTCACACCTCTTATACCTATTTCTTTGGGTCAGCTCAACAAAAAATATTTTTTTCCTGTGCTTCAGAATTTTCGTAAATAGTTTATGTGTACCATGAGATGGAAAAGGTTGAAAATTGCTGGATTAATACAATGCAGTGCAATGAGGTCAAACACTGAGAGGGCTGAAGCCTAGGACGGCCACCTCCTGCATACTTCCCAAGCAGGGATCTAATCTGCAACCTGACCGGAAATTGAACCTGAAGTGCATGGGAGGATGCTCAACCAACTGAACCACACTGGCCTGCCAGAGTTACCATTTTATTTTTATTCATCTTTTTTTCCACACCAGCCAGGGCCATACACCTTTCAAAAATATATATATTTATTGATTTCAAACAGAGGAACAGAGAGATGGAAACATCAATGATGAGAGAGAATCATCTATCTGCTGCTTCCTCCATGTCCCCTACTGGGGATTAAGCAGGCAACTTGGTCATGTGTCCTGCCTGGGAATCCAACCGTGACCTGTTGGTTCATAGGTTGAGGCTCAACCACTGAGCCATGCCAGTCAGGCAGAAACATTTTTTTTAAATGAATTAAAAAGAAATTCTGGCCCTTGCTTGTGTAGCTAAGTTGGCTGAGCATCATCACATGCATCAAGAGGTCACTGGTTCAATTCCTTATCCGGGCAAATGCCTGGGTTGTGGGCTTGATCCCCAGGGGCAGCCAGGAGACAGCAGATTGATGTTTTTGTGTCTCATCTATGTTTCTCTATCTCTCCCTCCCACGCCTTTGCTCTCTCTAGAACAATGAAAAAAACATCTCTGGGTGTGGATTAAAAAAAACAAAGAAACAGGTTCAAATTAGACGTTGTATGCAAGAAATTCACATCAGCTTTAACAAGGAAATGGGATGAAAGTGTAGAAATTAAAAAGAAAAAATCTATGCAAATGGAAGTCAAAAGAGAGTAACGTACACTTATAAGAAGCTATACTTATACTAGACAAAATAGGCTTTAACGCAAAACCTGTATAAAGAGATGAAGAGTCATTATATAATCATAAAGAAACTGATTCAGGTCCTGGCTAGGTAATGGTTGGTTAGAGCATCATCCTGATACACCGAGGTTGCAGGTTCGATCCTTTGGCAGGGTACATAAATGAACCAATGGAGCTTCTGGTCAAGATGGCTGCATAGATGAACACAGCACTAGGCTCCTCCCACAACCATATCAAAATTACACTTAAATTACAGAACTGCCATCATTCAGAATCACCTGAAATCTGGCTGAATGGAAGTACTACAAGAACAGAATTAACCTTTAAAAGACGGCATTTAAATTCCGTAGTGGGGTCTCCCGGCCGGAGCTTTTTTGGGTATTTAAATTCAGCTCTGCAGGCATTTACTTTTTTGCCTCTATCTTATCTATTTTTTGAGTTATTTATGAAAAGTAAAAACATTTATAAAGAAAATGTATTGTAAAGTTATCTTTTAATATATGTTACTGATGTTAAAAAATGTAAAAATTACATTTACAATTTAAATTACATTTTTTCAATACAAAAAATAAACACTTCATTTTTTATTATTACATTTTCTTAACATTTCACTCTTGGAAATGGTCTTCAAAAAGTTCTTTTTATTCTAAATTAGTTTTTGTGTGAAATAATTTGAAACAGTTGTCTACACACAGGCCTACGTTGCACTTTGAGCATCGAAAAACCGTGCGACTTTCTTTGCCTCGAAGTGAGCATAAGCGGCATCTGGCTTTCTTTCCTCTCTCTATCCAGTGCTCATTATCTCTCGCATCAAGGCGAACGACGCTTGTTGACGCAGCAGCAGGCCGGCCTATCAGGCAATAAGTAGGTTGACTCTCCTCCCTAGCGGCCTCCAAAAGATTTCTCACGAGCACCAAACGAAAATCTCGATGGGTCAACTTGCTCCCTACAGAAACAAAGGCAATCCATGAATTTAGAATAGTCAGATCAAGGAGGTGAAAGAATAACTTTTTCGTCCACTTCCAAGTTCGTCTGCTAATGGAGTAACTATTAGCCATTCTGTCGGATTTATCAATGTAGCCCATATGTTTGTTGTATTCTTTTATGACTCCAGGTTTCAGAGGTTTCCCCTGGTTATCACAGAAGTTCCCCTCTTCAGGTGGCACATGCATATTTGTCAACATATGGACATTTCTTTTATCTCTCCAAATAATCACCGTTAGATCTCGTCTGCATCTCACCTTCACATCTCCGCGTTTCATTTTCAATTTCTTGTCTTTGAATTCTTTCGGCAAACCAATTCGATTTGCTCTAACTGTCCCACAGCAATTTATTTTTATTTTCCTTAGGTCATCGAAAAGTTCAGGAGAAGAAAAAAAATTATCCATCATAAGCTTATGCCCCCTTCCTTCCACTCTTCTCGTCAAAGTTTTCACAGTCGCATGCGTAGCTGTTATATCTTTTGCTGCGTTTTGCCTGTCCTTCTCCAGGTAAACAGTCATATCTACTGTATATCCCGCTGAGTCACACAACTTATAGATTTTTATTCCGAACCTCTTATGTTTTTTTGGAATGTATTGTTTGAAAATCACTCTGACTTCATCCACTGCTAGGTACTCTGAAGGCCTGTAAAGTTTAGAATATTTTTCAATGAGAACATCAAAAAGGTTTCTTATCTTCCAGAGTCTATCATAACTTTCATCATTCCTGTTTGGTTCATTCTCATTGTTTGTGAAATGTAAAAATCTAAGGATATGTAAGAACCTATCGCATGCCATTGCATTACCATAGAAAGGGGTGTAAAACTGTTCCAATCGTGCCCAATAGTCTTTTAGAGAATCTCTGATATCATGTCCCATTTGAATCACAATTGCCAAAAAAGTACACATTTCGGAGTATTTTATGTCAGGTTCCGGAGATGATCCAACTTCCTTTTTCTGTATAAACTGGGAGTAATATCTGTTTGTCTCAAGCACTAGCAGGTGAATAACTTCTTGAAAATAGAGGAAAAATACTGTCATGGGTGAGGAACTTGCCGTGATATTAGGAGCTTCATTTGCATTCAAACCCTTTTCACCACCGGAAAAAATGAATGGATGTTGAAATACGTAGCTCCTTGACTTTTTCACCCATTCCTTTGCCTGAGTTTGGGCTAAGTCTTGGTCGATGGTGCCGTCCTCTCCCTCGGAGCTGTCATTGTCGTCTGTAATATGTGCGTTGGAATTGCTGTCTGCGAAAAGTTCCTCCGTAATTTCACTCTCTTGTAATTTTCTTTTGCGATTCACGGTGATGTTAGAGTGGTTTTTTCCTGAATAAAAATGCAGCGAATAAATACAAAAATATATGCACACAAAGATTTTTATCCAAGTGAGGATTGCTTCGTGGAGAAAATTTTCAATTACGAAATGTAAGTAATACATACCAAAATAAATGGAGCAGCTGATAAAAAGCCAGCCAAAGAATCAGGAGAGTTTGAATAAATGCTTATAACACTCGGACAACTTTGAGGGAACTGTTCACCATCGAAGTTAGCAGGGGAACTAAAAAATCTTAGCCCAGAAGAGATAGCAACAGTGAGGGGAATCCAAGGCCTAAGCTTGTTGTTGTATCCTCCTAAGATAAGTAAGGGCCAGCTTGCACGTCAAAAGGGGCCTGTGTTGAGCGAGGGGAATCCAAGCACAAAAGTTCGTTGTCAGATACTCATAAGGAAGTGCCAGCGCAGCCTGTCAAAAGGGGGAAGTGTTGAGCGAGGAGGGGAGTTCCAAGACAATGTTTGTTGTTACAGATACTGCCCAGAAAAAGGGGGGCGGGTTAGCAGGTCAAAAGGGACATTTGTTGAGAGATAAATAGTCCTGACATCATTACGCACTCCAACCATCATCAAAGAAGGAGCAAGAAATAACTCAAATGAAGTGGGAACGAAAGTTCCCATTCGGCCAGCGGGACCCACTCCTTGCCGGGAACAAAAGTTCCCTTTTGGGCGATAAAGGTTAAAGAAGAAGCCACATTGAGACTGCTAGATAGGGCACAGATGAAGAATGGGCTGGTCCCACACCCGTATGTGGTACATAAAAACTAGGAGGGAGATGTGGGCTGTGGAAGTACACCCTAAGGAGCAAGGGATCCCAGGCCCACACCAGACCCCTGGCCAAATTCTGGCTGAAAAAACCAGAGGGCACAGAGGCTGAGTGAAACAGAGGGCTGCTGGAGTCCCACGGAGTTCCTCTTAAAAGGCCCACACAGGGGCTTACTTGGACTTACAGACCCCCCCCCCC